TAAGGACCAGAGGAAGATCCCCATCAAGCGGGCCGACATCGTGAAGCACGTCCTGGGCGACTACAGGGACATGTTCCCCGACCTCCTGCACCGCGCCGCCGAGCGCCTGCAGTACGTGTTCGGGTACCGGCTGGTGGAGCTGGAGCCCAAGAGCAACACCTACATCCTCATCAACAGCCTGGAGCCCGTGGAGGAGGACGCCGAGCTGCGGGGCGACCAGGGCACGCCCACCACCGGCCTGCTGATGATCGTCCTGGGGCTCATCTTCATGAAGGGCAACGCCGTCAAGGAGACGGAGGTCTGGGACTTCCTGCGCCGCCTGGGGGTGTACCCCACCAAGAAGCACTTGATCTTCGGCGACCCCAAGAAGCTCCTCACCGAGGACTTCGTGCGGCAGCGGTACCTGGAGTACCGGCGGATCCCGCACACGGACCCCGTGGACTATGAGTTGCAGTGGGGCCCGCGAACCCACCTGGAAACCAGCAAGATGAAAGTGCTGAAGTTTGTGGCCAAAGTCCATAACCAGGACCCCAAGGACTGGCCGGCCCAGTACTGCGAGGCCCTGGCGGAGGAGGAGGACAGGGCCCGACCTCAGGCCAGCGCCCCTTCCCAGGCCGGCGCCGGATCTCAGGCCGGCGCCCGATCTCAGACCAGTGCCCCATCCCAGGCCGGCGCCCGATCTCAGACCAGCACCCGACCTCCGACCAGCGCCCCATCTCAGACCAGCGCCCAAGCCCCCTCCTCTTGAAGCCATAGGTTCCAGGGGACTCCTGGGGGCGAGGGTCGAAGGCGCAGGCCTGAGAGGGGTGTCAGTGGGGCAGGGGGCATATTCCTGTAAAGCTGAAATGTGTGTAGCTTTAGGATGTGTTTGCAAACTTTTGTTTTTTTACTATTTTAAAGTATTTGGTTCTAAGTTTTCATTTATAAAAATATGAGTAGAGAATTTATTTTGTTTTAGTATCTGTATTTGTGTGTGTGTGTGTGTGTGTGTGTATAAACTTGCTTTATAATACTAATTGGAAAACTTTGTACTGTGATTTGGAACAAAGAACACATCAGTAATTTGCTTTGGTGCCAAGTCAGTGTAAGTGGCTGTTATATGGCCTCCGAACTGCCCCAGTTTGTAAGGAAAAATAAAAGCCTTTATAAATAAAAATATAAGTGCGTATATCCTCTACTTTTTTTTTTTTTTTGCCTCAGCACAGCTATTTTATGTTTTCTGTGTATAAGGAAATTGTATTTCCTCGAGATAACTTTTTTACATTCATGATTATTATTTAGCTCTGTGGCTAACCATTTAGCTTTTATTCCGACCCTCATTATAATAAATACTATATCTTACAGCAGCTAAGCACTGTGCATTTTTTTAAGTCGTGAGTCCTGAGAAATTTCGTGACTCAGAACAACATTTTTTAAACAGTTTTTGCTGCGTGTTACCGTACGCAGTGCTCTGTAGAAGTTGCTTTACTTCCAGGTGTGTGTGCAGACCACATCGTTTCTCTCACTGTGACAGGCCACAGAAGTGTTAATAAGCCCTGTGGTGGTTAACTGCACCTACTTGGGAAGCAGACACCCTGGCTTCAGAGTCAGGCTTCCACCTGACCACATGCAGGTAGGCAGGTCCCTAACTTGCTTACAGACCTCTCCTCACCTGTCATCTGGGCTGCTGATGCCGAGTGGTCATGTGACCGTTAGATGTGGAAGCGGATGTACAGCTCTTGGCACACGCCTGGGGCTTTAGTTATTACTTTGTTCCTTACATTTTTAAAAAATGTTTTTTATTTCCTGTGGTCTGGAGCAGCTAAAACATTATTTCTAAGGTTTCCTCTCATTATCTTGCTTGAAATCATTCCTGGAATTTGAGTCACTGGTTCGAAAGTTACAGCAATACTCTAGTCTGACGATGGTTTTGTGAAAAAATACAACTCATGGTATACGGCGAGCATAGCCCGTATAAAACAGTGGAAGCAGGGAAATTAGATGTTAAGATTCCCCCTGGCTATGAGGTCACTGTAGGATAGTGAAAAGGGTTTAGGTTTTGAAGCTGCCAAACTGACTTTGGATTATGGCTCATGTTTATGTCAGCCTGGTGATTTGGGGTAGGTCTTACTCTCTGAGTCTCAATTTATCTGCAAAAAGGGGAAAATAGTAACTATAATTGTAGGGTTTTTTCCCCCTAATCCTCACCTGAGGATATTTTTCCATTGATTTTTAGAGAGAGTGAAAGGGTGAGAAACAGAGAAACATCGATGTGAGAGGGACATGGATTGGTTCACACACATCCCGACCAGGGCCAGGGATTGAGCCTGCAACCGAAGTACATGCCCTTCACTGGCATCGAACCCGGGACCCTTCAGTCCACAGGCTGACGCTCTATCCACTGAGCCACACTGGCCAGGGCCATAGTTTCTTTTATGGATTAAAGGAACCTGAAGAAAAGCTCGTGGTCCCCACTCTCCCGCCACAGCTTCCGCAAATGCTGCTTAGAGAGGCTCAGCCAGTAGCTTTCGGGGTGAATAAGAATTGTTTTGGGGGAAGAAACTGTGAATTAATCATGAAATGAGGTAAATAGTTTTAAAAAGGGAACTGGATCAACACTCACCTGGAAATAGCTACACGAGTCTGGTGGGCCTGTGGCCCTGGAGGAATGGGGTAGGCTCCTGGGCTTCCCTTCCGTTGAATGGACTTTGCATACATTCCTCCTGGTTTGCCTTTTATTGCTGACTGGCCCCGTGCCTTCCCCTCCGGTGTGTTCTCATCCTGCATTTCATCCTTACGGTGAGAATGATCCTAACCCAGGGCCAGTTACCAGTTCTATCTGAGGCACATGTCACCCCCACCCCCCCCACACACACACTTTTCTCAAAGAGATGTTAACAATTTACCAGCAGCGAATTACTAGGTGATTTCAATTTTAGGACAGAAAGCAGCACAGACCAGATCTTTTCTTCTCGCCCTTCCCGGAGGTGTCAGTCTGTGGGTCTCATGCTGTTGCAGGGTTCAGTACGTTAATGCGCATACACACGAGCATTATGCGCAAGTGTTCCGTGAGCTTTCCCACCTTAAAGCTTGGCAGTAGACTGTAGCCTTGTGCTACTTGCTGTTTTACACGACATTGGCTTTGAGATTTTGCCAATTAGATCTGATTCATCCATTTTATTTGTTCTTCCATGTGGGGAAATAAGTTTATCCATTCCCTAATGGTTGGGTTATTTCCAGTTTTTAGCTATTTGCAGGCAGTACACACAGTGCTTCCTTAGGCACGTGTGTGAGAGCTTGTGTATGGTTACACTGCCAACATGTTAGAGTTCCTTTTCCCCGATCCTCTCTCCTGCATCCGTCCCAGCCAGATGTGCATGTCACTGTACCTGGAGGGAAGTCCCAATATGGAATCATCACTCTATTCACAATGTATGGATCCCCTCCCATGTACATAGCACACGGTCTACTATTTTCCTAGATCTAAAAGCTAGTTCTCTTTTTTAATTGAAAAATGAGAACAAAGTTGTTTTGATGTACTCACCATATATATAATCACTTAAAATCGACTTGCCAAATTGATTTTTAAAAAGTCAGAAGAGAAAAACCAATGCAACAAATTATAAAATGTAATAAATATAATCATTACTAAAGAGATTCATTCTGAAACAGCACTCATTGTGATCCCTAGGAATATTCCGGTGAGGATTTAAAAAAATAACAATAAATAAAAGAAAGGTCTTCTAAGAAATAAACTTCTTTCATTCGATTTTCTTTAGTGATCAGTTGTTATTTTTAAGGCTCTAGAAAACTATTTTGAGACTATTGTATATTTTCAAGTTTAGCCTCACTTTATTTTTTTTAAATATATTTTATTGATTTTTTACAGAGAGGAAGGGAGAGGGATAGTTAGAAACATCGATCAGCTGCCTCCTGCACACCCCCTACTGGGGATGTGCCCACAACCAAGGTACATGCCCCAGACCAGAATCGAACCTGGGACCCTTCAGTCCGCAGGCTGACGCTCTATCCACTGAGCCACACCGGTTAGGGCTCTTCAATACTGTAGCATATATTTCCAATAAAGTCACGGTCCAGACAGTGGCTTTTCAGAGCGTACCTTTTCTACTTGATGTAAGGGAAGCTGCGTTTGCAATTCCGAGAAACAAGACGTTTCCTTTGAAACAGGCCAGGCATGTAATGATGTGAGCGACTGAAAGCACTTTTGCAGCCAAGTCACCTTTGCTCCGAGCCTCTGCGGTGAGTAACGGGCTTTGCGTGGTCTCTTGCAGGTCACCTTTTTCATGCTGCTCTCCGCGGTGTGCGTGATGCTGAACCTGGCCGGCTCCATCCTCTCCTGCCAGAACGCCCAGCTCGTCAGCGCCCTGGGAGCCTGCCAGCTGGTGAGCACTGCAGCCGGCGCCTGCCCGCGAGGCCGGCCGCACAGGCGTCACTTTAAAAGCAATCGTGTCCCCTCCTTGCGTCCTTCTGAGAGTTCATGGTTGTCTAAGGAATTGAATTTCAGTTGATTCGTTTCTCAAAATTCTCCCGGACGAACACGTGCACCGCTTTGTAAATCCGTTACTAATAGAATATTCCTACGGATCGCAGCGCGTGCTGTTGCGGAATGAATCTCTTTAGTAACGATCATATTTTAGCATTTTTTGCATTGATTTTTCTCTCCTGAATTTTTAAAAATCAATTTGGTAAATGCATTTTAAGTGACTATATATATATATATATATATATCCGCATATGGTGAGTGCATCAAAACCACTTTGTTCTCATTTTTCAATTAAAAAAGAGAACTAGCTTTTAGATCTAGGAAAATGGTAGGCTGTGTGCTACGCACATGAGAGGGATCAGTAGGTTGTTGGTTGCATAGAGTGATGACTCCATCTCATGATTTAGTTCCAGGGACAGTGACACATGTGTGTGGCTGGGGCAGAAATGGAAGTATGTCCAGTCACACTGAGTAAGTGTGTGGTTGAACTTCTGATATAACCTTGGTGGCTGGGTATGGGGCATTCCCATTGGTTTCTTTTTAAAATACATTTTTATTTATGCCAGAGAGGAAGGGAGAGGCAGAGGGAGAGAGAGATATATCACTGATGAGAGAGAATCATTGATTGGCTGCCTCCTGCACGCTCTCCACTGGGGATTGAGCCTGCAGGCTGACGCTCTACCCACTGAACACACCGGCCAGGGCGTCCACAGCGTTTGTATCCACTCGTCTACTGAGGGGCACCAGGCTCTTTCCAGATTTGGTCATTGTAACTAGCGCTGCTCTGAACATATGGTGCACATATTCTCTCATGTTAGTGTTTCTGATTTTTTAGGATATAGTCCTAGAGGTGGGATCACTGGGTCAGATGGCAGTTCCAGTTTTAGTTTTTTGAGGAAGCTCCACACTGTTCTCCACAGCGGCTGCCCCCGATGGCATTCCCACCAGCAGTGCAGGCGGGGTCCCTCCTCCACATCCCCCCGCCCCTGTCCTTTCCCCCAGCCGCTCTGACGGGTGTGAGGCGATCCCTCCTTGTCGTTTCAGTTTGCGTCTCTCCGATGATCAGTGACTTCAAGCATTTTTTCGTGTGTCTCTTGGCCGTCTGTATGGTCACTTTGGAGAAGTGTCTAGTTGGGGCCTTTGCCCATTTTTAAATTGGATTGTTTGTCTTCCTTTTGTTAAGTTGTCTGAGTTCTTTATATATTCTGGAAATTAACCTCTTATCATTCGCAAATATGTTCTCCCATACAGTGGGATCCCTTTTCATTCTTAAAAGAAAGAATTTCCTGTTTTCATGATGTTGAGGTTATTTTCATCTATTGTATGTGTCCTCATGTGGAAATACAATGCTGTGTTTTAAAATATATTTTAAATGTTGTCCTGTCCAAAGTATTCTGTAAATGGAAGATCACACAGTGCGTAACCCTTTGGACTCGGCTTTGTTCCTTCAGTGGAATCCATCCAAGTTGTGTCCGCCAGCCTGCCCCTGTCCACGGGGGGTAGTGTCCCACGGTCGGAGAGTAGGGCAGCTGTGCAGCGTCGCCCTGCGGAGGCCACCTGGGCTCACGCAGTTGTTGGTTTTCATGAGGAAGGCGCTGTGAAGGGGACCTTCTCCTTTCTGGGGCTGTGGGGTTTCCCTGAGGCTGTGGCTGCGTATAGTGCCAGCGCTCCAGTCTCAAAATGAACCGTCCGGTAACCAAGCCAACGCCAATTATGTAGCCACGGCGCTCAGAAGAGCCCACAGTAGCCAGGGCAACCCCGACTGAGCGTCGTCCTGATGAATCAGAAATTACGAGAGGACGCGCCTAAGGCTGCAGGTTCGGAAAAGTCGGGCTTGAAAGATGCAGGAAAACGAGGCTGAAAGTCCGCAGCCCCCTTTGGGGCGTGTCTGTCATTGTCTTGTCTCCTTCCCAGCTCCCGTGATTGCCAAAAGATGTAGCTTTTTATTTTTAAAAAAATATGTTTTTGGCCTGGCCACATGGCTCAGTGGTTGAGCGTTGGCCTATGAACCCGGAGGTCATGGTTTGATTCCTGGTGGGGCATGTGCCCGGGTTTAACCAGTGAGCCCTAGCTTGTTTGGCTCAGTGGATAGAGGGTTGGACTGTGGACTGGAGGGGCAGCCCATCAGCGATTCCCTCTCATCACTGATGTTTCTGTCTCCCTCTCCCTTCCTCTCTGAGATCGAGGAAAAGATATTCATTAAAAAACAAAAACCCCGCCCTGGCTGGTGTGGCTCAGTGTGCTGGGCTTTATCGCAGGCACCAGAAGGTTGCAGGTTCGATTTCTGGCCAGGGCACATGCCGGGGTGCAGGTTGGGTCCCCAGTAGGGGGCGCACAGCGGGCAGCCAATTCATGTTCCAGTCTCTCACATTGATGTTTCTCTGTCTCCCTTCCTCTCTCTCTAAAAATCAATGGAAATCTTTTTAAAAATACCACCAACAACTTAACCACATTTGCACTTTGAATGTTGACCCCCTTAACCTCATCTGCGCACCCCGACCCCAGGACCCCGCAGCTCAGGGCGGTTCTGTGGCTTGTCCCAGGTCCCCCCGCGATGGTCGCCCCATGAGTGAGTGGGTCCGATTCTGTCCCTCGCGCTTTGGTTTCTATGTGTCTCGGCCGGTTCATTGCCCCTGAGATTCGCAGGCGGCCCGCAGGGGCACCCCGTCTTTCTGTGGTATCAGCCCTTTCCACTCCTGGAAGGCGGATAGGCCACACCTGAGAGGGGCAGGCCAGCGCTCAGTGCTCCAGGGTCAGGAGAAATGACAGCGACCCCACCCCGTCTGCACAGCTCTGCTGCGTCCGCCACCCGGCCCCAGGGCCGCTCGGCAGTCAGCCCGGCAGCCCCGCAGCAGGATGTGGGGACAGAGCCCATCAGGGGCCCCCAGGGACTTTCTTAGAACCAGTCACCCACCAGGGAGACGCTGAGGACGCACGTCCGTGTCTGCCCCGGGGTCACCGGAGGGTTACTGACCGACAGACTGCCTGTAGCCAAGCCCAGGCTCCCGCCCTCACCCCGAGGGGCTGTGCTGCTGTTACATTATGTTGATCAGGTCTCCCCAGGCCCAGGCAGGACCGCACACAAGCATTCCTTCCTGGTTGTTAAAACGTCTTAGCGTGGGTGCAGGCACTTTAAAATAAGTATTTGTGATTTCAGAGGGGAAGGGAGCGGGAGAGAGACATCAGTTTGAAGCACCTCCCCCTGGGGTTCTCCATGGCTTTTGCCCACAAAACAAAATAATCGTTTTGGGCTTCGTGATGGAGACTACACCGGGATGCTTGAACCAAGGCGTTGACACGTGTGTGTATGTGTGTGCGTGTGCGTGTGTGCGGCTGCGGTGTGCCCGCCAGGCCGGCCGGTGCTCACGGCGCGGTGCCTGTCCCTCCAGATTAAGTTTGACAGCGTGGAGGTGTGCATCTGCTGTGAGACGCAGCACCGGGCGGCCGGCTGCAGCAACCTCGGGGAGACGCTGAAGCTGAACCCGTGCCTCTCCGTGCGCGTCGCCCCGAGGTCAGGTAGCGGCAGGAGGGACCCGCTGGGGGACTTATTTCCCAGGGTCAGAGGTTCCACTGGGAGGTGCCGCCTTCTTCTCGGGCCCCTTTGTCCCTTTCCTGCCGCGGACGGAGGTGACGGGTGGGAATGGACGGGAAGTCTCGACGAATTTCGGACTCCTGCTCCCTCATGTGTTTGCTGTCCCGCCGTCAGGGGACAGATGGCTGCTGACGTTCCCTTTTTAAAAAAATTTTTTTTTACTGACTTCAGAGAAGAAGGGAGAGGGAGAGAGAAACGTCAATGATGAGAGAGAACCATGGATCGGCTGCCTCCTGCACACCCCACACTGGGGATCCAGCCCCTAACCCGGGCCTGTGCCCTGATCGGGAACCGAACCAGCAACCTCTTGGTTCATAGATTGACGCTCAGCACTGAGCCACACCAGCCGGGCAAGGCCAGTGTCGATTATGAAAATAACACATAACAGGAGAAAGCGTCCGTGAGGCGGAGGCGGTTGGCAGGCTGCCCTGGGGTTGGAGGCGTGCGTTGGGCCTGCCCGGGCCGCCCGGGGAGCTGACCTCCGCGTCTCTCCTCGCAGAACCTGCTCTTCAGCGTGTGCGCCCTCAACGTCCTCTCCACCATCGTGTGCGCCCTGGCCACCGCCATGTGCTGCATGCAGATGGTCTCCACCGACATCCTGCACCTGGTGAGTGGCCCCCAGTCCCTCTCTGGCCGGTGGGGACCGTCGGACGTGGGAGAGTGGACACTCTCCTGGTTCCGAGGTGGATGCTCAGCCACTGGGCACGCCGGCCGGGCCCCGGCCAGATGCTTTGTAAGGCAGGGCCCTGCAGGAAGGGCTGTGTAACTAGGCCCATGGCCTGGTCCCTGCTGGTGAGGGCTCAGGGGGAGACGCCACGCCACTCCTGGCACCAGCACCAGCAGGGTCACCAGCATCTTCCCCACCAGGTCACCAGGCCTGGCCCGGCGCCACTGTTCCCAGCTCTCCTGGGACCCACAGGGACCTTCATGAGGCCTGGGGTCAACAGAAGTGCTTCTAGGTGGCGGGCGCTGCGTCTCTATCAGACAGAGCAGGACTGGTGGGCGTCTGAGGAATGAAAAGCTGGTTACAGTCCTGCTGGTGTGGCCCAGTGGTCAGAGCATCGGCCGCACACCAGCGGGTGGTGGGTTCGTTCCCCAGTCCCGGTGAGTGTGTGTGGGAGGCAACCAATAGATGCGGCTCGCCTTCTGCCTCCCTTCCTCGCTCTAAAAATCAATTTTAAAATCTAAAAATAGATATAGTCGAATGTGTGTTTAGCCGGCAAGGCCCAACGGTCTAAACGACGTAAGCCCCAAACTGAAGCTCACGTGCAGGTAGGTCAGCTGGACACGGGCCACACCAGGCGTCCCAGTCACGGTGACCTCTGTTTCCAGTTCCTTCCACACCGGGCACACTCCTCCAGCCCTGCCTGCCTGACCCCGCACGGCACCGTCCTCCACCAGACGCTGGACTTCGAGGAGTTCGTCCCCCCTCTGCCGCCTCCGCCCTACTACCCTCCCGAGTACACCTGCACGCCCCCGGCCGAGGCCCACAGGTGGGCATGTCCGCGGTGCCTCGGGGACGGGCTGACGCCAGGGAGATGGGGCACGGTCGGGCAGATGCACGGGGCAGAGGCCGTGCCCATCTTCAGCAGAGGAGCTGTGGATGGGGGCAGGGGGAGCGCAGGCCGCGAGAGCCGGTTGGTCAGAGAAAGAGCGTGAGCAGCGGAGGGAAGTGACTCAGAGCGAGAAGCTTCCCTGGGTGTCTCTCCAGGGCACAGAACCAAACCCAGGAAACCCAGAGCCGCTGCTGGGGGAGCCCTGATAGGACGTGTGATGCTGATAAAAGAGATTAAAGATGGAGTCAGCTGGGGAGCATTTTCATTTTAATTTTTTAAGATACTTTTTCAGAGAGAGAGGAAAGGAGAGGGAGAGAGAGGAACATCCACGATGAGAGAGAATCACTGATCGGCTGCCTCCCGCACGCCCCCCACTGGGCATGGAGCCCACAGCCCAGGCACGTGCCCTGACCGGGAATCTGAACCGTGACCTTCTGGTTCATAGGTCAACGCTCAACCCCTGAGCCCCGCTGGCCGGGCTTTAATTTGAATTTTAATGGACAGAGCCATTGAGTTTATTGAAATGGAGTTATCTTTCCAGAAAACAAAAGCTAAAACTGCGGAGCGAATTAGGCTTTTACTTCACAAACACGATGAGTATCCGACCAGGGGAGCTGACAAGCGCAGTGTCAGCCTTTGGGGTCCGCCCCGGGGGTGACAGGCGGTGTTTGCCTCCTCAGGGGCCTCCGCCTGGACTTGGCTCCCGCTCCATTCGGCACCTTGTACGACGCGGCCATCAACAGCCCCGGCCTGCTCTACCCCGCGGAGCTGCCCCCGCCCTACGAGGCCGTGGTGGGCCCGGCTCTGCCCAGCCAGGTGAGACCCGCCCGGGAAACGGCTCCCAGCCCGCCCGGTCTCCGTCGGAGCCTTCAGGAGCCGGTGGGAGGCGAGTGTCACCAGCCGTGGTGGGGAGCAGGCGGCAGGCCAGAGGGCAGAACCTGAGACCCACCCAGTATTTGTGCCTCTTCCCCTGGCCCCTCAGGCATGTCTGAGCCCAACAGATACATTTTTCTCCCCCACTGCCACTGCGTGTGTTTGTGTGTGTGTGTGTGTGTGTGTATTTATATTTCAGAGAGATGAAGGGAGAGGGAGGCGATTGAAACATCAATGATGAGAGAGAAGCATTGATCAGCTGCCTACTGCACACCCCACACTGGGGATCGAGTCCACAGGCTGATGCTCTATCCACTGAGCAGCACCGGCCAGGGCGCCTTTATATATTTTTAAAAATATTTTTGTATTGATCTCAGAGAGGAAGGGAGAGGGAGAAAGAGACAGAAACATCAAAAGTCACAGAGAAACGGCCTTGAGTTTGGCCAGGGCGTCCTCCACCTCACAGCCCCGGACTTTCGGGGGGAACATTAGTGCCCGCCTCCCAGCATTTCCTACGAGACAGTGGGTTCCGAGTCGCCCTCCTGACCGGCCCCTCGCTTCCTGTTTCTGGCTGTAGGTCCCGCGCACAGACCAGCAGGGGGCCCAGACCAGCTCCCGGGACCCGGACGCCTCTGCCGGCTTCTGCGCACAAGGTAACCTCACCCGTCGGATTGGAGATAAGATGTTTATCCTTTCCTTTTTTTTTTTTTTTAAATACGTGTTTACTGGTTTCAGAGAGCACCAGCCGCCCAGGCTCCCAGGGTGCCACCACTCTGGGCCCCAGCCACCTGTCCCCCGATGGCCCCGCGGG